TTATAGCTGTAAGCCATGTTGTACCCATCTGGTTGTGCTCTATAAAGCTTCCCCTGAGAAATGAGGTCCTCAGCAACCTATTCAGAGCCTCACCTGACTCTCAGGAGCTGATATTTCCTACTCTTAGCCTCCACGGTTCCTTAGAATTCATTCTTCAATTTGGAGAAAACATGGAGTTGTGTACTGGACGTCTAGCAGTTGGGAGTGATACTATTTCCCTTCTATCATTTTGGAGGTCCTGCATCATTTGCTAGACCAATCTCTGATGCCTGGCTGCAACCAGACTCTGCAGCTTCCCTGTGACCAGAACTGAAGATGACCCAAGGGAAAAGAGAACCATTGGTCTTTTAGAGCTTTCTAGAGCAACAGAGAAGGGGAGTTTCATAGTGGCAGAGGAGGCTCCGTGTGCATTGACGAGTGTGTTTGCCATGTGGAAACCGGAGGCTTAATAAATTAGAAGCAAAGTGCCAGCCAAATAGCTCAGCAGATTAAAGTGCCTGAAAGCAGGCACAGGGGCAGGGGGTTTGATCCCCGGGCCTTCCATGCCAGGCCCACCCCCGGGGCATGCTGAGATGGCAATTGAGACTGGGCATGGTGGTGTGCGCCTGTAATCCCAGCTCTTGGGAGGCTGTAAACAGGGGCATCACTATGAGTCTGATCTAGTAGTGAGACTCTGAACAGCCTGTAGACACTAGACACCCGCCCCAAAAAATAATTTTTTTAAAAATTAGAAGCAAGCATCTTGTGTGCTTGGCTTGGCTGTAGATACGCTACTTCTGAGTTGTAGAAGCTGGGGTCTGATGGCAGCTGACAGCTGCTGAGGTTGGACCATTCTGGGCTGAATGGTGTAGAAGTTGTGGGCTGGAGTTCTGCCATCTGGCAGTGTCTGGCTATTGTCCGTGTCCTGGACGCTCGTTCCTGAGTGCTTCAGCTCTAGTTCAGTGTCCAGCATGACTGTATATGACTTTCCATTTTGCTTTGTATTAAAAGTAAAGTAACTTGATTTTTTTTTTTTTTTTTTTGTATTTTAGGGAAGGGTCTACAGGGTGTTCAGGGTCTCACTACTAGATCAGACTCGTAGCGATCCGCCTGTCTACAACCTCCCAAGAGCTGGGATTACAGGTGTGTGCCACCATGCCCAGTCCCAATTGTAGTCTCAGCATGCCCCAGGGGTGGGGCCAGCATGGCAGGCTCCAGGGATCAAACCCCTGTGCCCACTTGCAGGCACTTTAATGTGCTGAGCTATTTGGCCAGTAAAGTAACATAAACAGCTCACCTTTAGCCCTTTAAAAGAATTGAAAAAAAAAAAAAAGTTTGAGACAAGGTCTCACTTTGAATTTGCAACCTTTCTACCTCAGTTTCGAGAGGGCTGAGTTTCCACGTGTGCACCGCCATGCCCATCTGCATTTGGACTTTTTTTTTAAACCACAAAAAGTTATACTGCCCCAATTGCCAAGGCCACCTAGTTCTCCAGCTGACAAAGACAGATGTCATGGGATGGGAGGGTAACTCAGAGGGGTATACCTCCCCTTATAATCCGTGGACCAAGCTCTGCCTCCCCTTTCTTGTATCCCCTTCTCCTGTTGTTGCTTCCTGTTCCTCCCAAGGTGTATTCAGATCTTTGCTCTAGGATTTGCTTCAGGAGGGAAAACTTCCTGAAGGTTTTCAGGAGGGGCACTAGCAGATTTTCATGAGTGGGTCTGTCTCCAGACTAAAGAATGTATACGTGCAAGACTTCAGCAACAACAGCAGGCAGTGTGGAACTGGAGTACAGAAGTGCAAGGCAGCACACATCTTTATTATGTATATTTTGTTTGTTTGTTTAGGCGGAACCAGGGATTGAACTCAGGCCCTTGTGCTTGCCAGGGAAGTGCTTATTCTACTGAGCCATCTCCCCAGCCCCCCCCCCTTTTTGAGGTACTGGGGACCTTGCGCATGCCAGTCAGATGTTTATGCCACTGAGCTGTCTCCCCAGCTCTGTATATTTTTTATATACAGTGTTATCACCTATTTATGTTCTTACATACTGGCCTCATTGGCACATGTGTTCTTGTCAACTGTTAAGTGACGGTTACATACTAATGCCCCAACGTGTGCCTATGCTGACAATGGGGCTGTGTCCTCAGGGCTGTCCCGAAGTATCCTTACATGCCCAAGCTTTGACTTGGTCTGAGTGGTTCCCCACAAGAATCAATTGGTGTCCACAGAGAATTTGAAAATAGTGTGGTGCATAGACTCCTCACTTTTGATTTTAAAAGTGTGGCAAGTTCATGAAAGGAGTTTTTCTTTAAACTGGGTGGGGTAGTGCACGCCTGTAATCCCAGCACTCAAGAGGCAGAAGGATTGCTAAATTTGCAGTCAGCCTGGGCTACATAGTGAGCTCAAGTCCAGCCTGAGTTAAGTAGCGAGACCCTGCTTCCAGAAAATCCCAAAGCAAAACTGAATCCAAAACAAAAACAAAAAACAAATAAAAAGCTCCCAAAACCTAAGAAATATTATTTTGAAATATTTTTTTTTCTTGTAAGTTCACACTACCCAGTTGCTTAAATTCCACAGCATTCTTGATTTGTGACTGTGAATCATATTTCTTGCCAATTCTTTAAAAGCCAGAGATCATCACTTATAATTTTATAATTTTTTCATGCTTGTAACAGCTCTTTGTGCAATACATAATGTACTTTACTGAAATTTTATTAAAATTTAATTAAATACAGTTGTATAATGTGCATTTTCCAAAGTTTAAGTAAGTCAAACATCTCTAATTTAAAAAAAACCCAAAATCTGTAATGCAATGGAATTCAGGATTTGGGGATGGACTGGGGATATTCAACAGGTTAAAGTCTACGGGCCGGGGAGTTGGCTCAATAGAACAAGTACTTCCCTGGCAAGCGCAAGGGCCTGGGTTCAATTCCTGATTCTGCCAAAAAAAGAAAAAAGAAAAAGTCTATGTAAGTATGCTAGAACCTGAAAAACCCCAAAATCTGAAATGCTTCTACTCCAAAGTATTTATTTATTTATTATTTTTTTTGGAGGAACCAGGGATTGAACTCGGGTCCTTGCGCTTGCCAGGGAAGCATTTATTCTACTGAGCCATCTCCCCAGCCCATCCAAAGTATTTTTGATGAGACCTACCTAACCCTCAAATAAAATTTTATAGGAGGCCCTGGATTTGAACTCAGCAACTGTTCTGAGCCCAACAAACCAAACCAATACAGTTTTATCTCAGTAACTGAGCTTTGGGAGTATCTGAGCAGTTCTGGAGCTGATATGTACTAACTGAACAATGAATTAGTTAAGCTGTATCCAGCGGACTGGTTCTGTGACTATCCTGGAACCAATTAAGTCAATTTCTTTCTTTTTTTTTTTTTAAATTTTATTTATGTGTGTGTGTGTGTGTGTGTGTGTGTGTGGCCAGCTCAGCCCACCAGAGGGCGGGGCTGGCTGGCATGTGGTGCTGGGGGATTGACCCACGGTCCGTGTGCTTTGCTAAGCTTGTTCTAAGTAGGTGCTTTAGACCACTGAGCTAAGTAGCGAGACCCTGCTACTCACCAGCCCCAAGTCAATTTCTTTTCTTTCGTTGAGACAGGCTCTCCACATGTAGTCAAGACCAGCTTCAAACTGATTTCTTTTTCTTTCTGTATTTTAGGGAAGGGTCTACAGGGTGTTCAGGTTCTCACTACTAGATCAGACTTGTAGTGATCCGCCTGTTTACAGCCTCCCAAGGGCTGGGATTACAGGTACCTGCCATCACACCCAGTCTCAATCTCTATCTCAGCATGCCCCAAGGGCAGGGCCAGCACAGTAAGCCTGGGGATTGAACCCCTGGCCCCTGCACTTGCTTATAAGTGCTTTAATCTGCTGAGCTATTTGGCCACCCTCGGCTTCAAACTCATGATGATCCTCCTGTCTCAGCCTTCTGAGTCCAGGTGTGTGCTACTCAGCTCAATTAAGTTATTTTCTATAACTCACTTCCATTTTTCTCAAAATGCTGTCACATCATTATTGGGTAGAATGATCAGAACCTGCTTTTTTTTTTTTTGTGGGGGCTACTGGTGGCACTGGGGATGGAAGACAGGGTTTTGTGCATGTGAGGGAAGAACTCTACCACTAAGCCACATCCCCAGCCCCACTTTTGTTCTGAGGGCCTCTAGACCTGAAAGTCATTTTATTTTTTTAATCTGGTCAGTTAAGATTTACTGGGATGGAACTATATTGGAAAGATGTCTGTATATTATTAAATTTGTTGGTATTACTCTAAAAAAAAAAGATTTACTGAATTGGATTGGTGTAAGGAATTCTACTTTTACTTATTTTTGTAGTGTGAGGGAGTGAATCCAGAGCTTTTGCAATGTTAGCCCGGTGCTCTACCAGTGAGTTGCACTGCCAGCCCTGGACTTTTCCATTTAAGCCTTGTGCCAGGACTCCCAAGGGCAGGCCAAGCCCTTCGTGGGCTGTCCTAGGCTCAGGTGACTTCTTTTTCCAGCTGTGGACAGGTGGCCCAAGACACCTTCTGCAGCACTGTCTCCCTGTACGTGCCCAGCCCCGCTCCCAAGACAGCTAGGAACAGATGAGACACTACACTTTCACAGAAGATAGCATTTTACTTGGGTTCTTTTTTTTGTGTGTGTGTGGCAAAACCAGGGATTGAACCCAGGCCCTGGCGCTTGCCAGGGAAGCGCTTATTCTACTGAGCCATCTCCCCAGCCCCACTTTGGTTCTTACTTAAGAACGGAGACTGTGTCTACACTTGATAAACAAATCCCACTGTAGCTCATGCATAGAAAAAAAAAAGCTGAAGTCTTTATCCTCCCTCAGTTCTCACCCCACCTTCCCTTTATGACAATGTAGGGAGAGCCCAGGCATAAGGGCAGAACAGTTCTTTGACCCTGGAAGAAGCCAGGAGGAAGTCCTGTCACCAAGCAGAAATCTCCTCAATCCCTCAGGCTGAGCCGTTATGCCGGTCCTCCATGTCCTTTTCTTCATAAAAGTTCCTGAAAATTTAGGAGGTGCCCGAGGAGGGCCAGGATCAGGCTGTGAGGCCCGACTGTGAATGCTACCAAGAAGTCCCCTGATTTGATTGGGGGTTTGTTTCCTCCAAGTGTTGCAGGTGGGACCAGCCTGTAGCAGCCCACATACTGGGGAGCTGCTGCTGCGGGCAGGTCACCATTCCCAAAGGACTGGCAGCCAGCCTCAGGCCCACTGCAGCACAGCGCCTGGGGACAACGCCAGCTGGTGGCGCAGAGCAGGTGAGCTGTGCGCGGGCGCGGGGTGGGGTGGGGGTGGGGCGGGACTCAGGCTGGTGGCAGTGAGGAGAAGGCAAAGGCGGCCGCGGCCCTTTCTCCTTCCAGGAAAGCAGCCACTTCCCTCCGGTTTTCACAGACTGGACGGATCCCCTGAGAGTGAAGCTCCCAATAGGAAAATCAGCTCTTGCCCTGGCCCTCTGACTCTCCTGGCCCCAAGGAGTCATGCGAGGGGCAAGAGGGCAGGTGGCCATCAGAGGGTGGTGCTGTTGCCACGGGGTCTCTTCATGAGGACCTTTCCACCCGCTGCCCAGGCCCTCTGGGATGGCCGTTTTTTCTTGCTGTCCAACTTCCTCATGTACCTCTGCACCCACGGCTGGTTGGGGTCGCTGCACAACTGCAGGCCCTTCTTGGTGGTGAAGCTGTGGGAGGAAGGACAGGGCTCTGCTGAGGTCCGGCAGGGCCCGGGGACCACGCATGACACTTTACAGGGATGTGCTAGGAGCCTGGCCTCCTAGGGGACTCCTGACATCTGTCTTCTCTCACGTGGGATTTGGTATGCAGAGGAAGAATGGTGGGGCGGGGGTGGGGTGCTTGGCTCAGTCGGGGGCCTCTCCATCACACAGCATCTGACAACAGGGACACAGCCCCCATCCACAGCGAAGAGGAAAAAATGCAACAAGCCCCCCAGAATGAAAATGCCACCAAGGCTCATGCTATGCATGGAGGTGTGCCAGCGAGGGTGCCAGGGCTGCACCAGAAGGATGGTGCCCCCTCCAAGCCAGCTCCTACCTGGGGGCGCTGGGCCAGAGATCAAATCTTGTGATGCTTTGGGAAAATGAATGACAAATACTAAAACTCTATGACAGGAGTGGCGAACCTGCAGCCTGGGTATTACTGTGTTTCTTTTAAGACAAAAGATATTGATGTATGAGTTCTTTTTTCTGAACTGAAATCTCAGTCTTCAGGTTTAATTGCTGTGTTGGTACTTTGGGATAAATAAGGGGGTTCAGAGTTGCAGTCTGAGCATTCGTCTCTAAAAGGTTCGCCACCATGGCTCTATAGAGTACCGCTGCTCACAGGGAAGCGCTTATTCTACTGAGCCATCTCCCCCGCCAGTGCCACTGTTGACGAAGTGACCCCACTGCTACCTTTTATAAGAGACAGCTCTGACACCATCAGAAGCCCAGAGACCTAGCCACCCAAGTGACCTCGAGCTGCAGCTGCCCTCTGCAAGCGGGAGCAACCACACCTCCCCTGTGGGGTTGCTGGGGGGACTCACTAAGGCGATGTCATGTACATATTTAGTGCCCCTGAAATGACTGTTGAACTTTAATCTTTCTCTTCATTTTATGGCTGGGGAAGCAGAAGCTCAGGGAGGCCAAGTGCCTTTTGCAGAGCTGACCCTGGAGGTTTGTTGTCCCCTGCCTTGGACCTGGAGAAATACTCACATCACTCCCGCCTTGGTACAGGTGCTCCTGCTGGTCAGCTGATAGCTCACCACCCTGTCCTCGGGGATTTTCTTGGAAACAAAGGTTATGCAGCAGGAGGAGGGGATGACTACAGAGTCTGAAACAGGACAGAGAAGAGCTGTGTCCTTTCCCATGAGTCCACCCTCACCAGGCACCCCAAGAAGTCACAGGCTGCCCTAGGCTGCCTCCTCCTCCACCCTCTGTGGTGCCAACCCAGCCATACCCTTGTAGCCCTGTCCTGCCCAGAGACTCAGGCCGGAGCTGGGCGTCTTACCTGTGGGCAGAATGCAGTGAGCACAGAGGGCTAGGAGCAGGAGACCAGCTGCAATGGTCACGGGGCCTGCCATGGCCTGGAGGGAGAGGTGGCAGCTTAGGGCTCAGAGTTGGGGTGCAGGAGGAGAGAGCTACTTCCTTGCAAAGCACCCCAACCTCCCTCCCTCTATCCTTTATAGGAGCAGCTGGGGGAGACACTTGCACAGATCTGCTTCCCTCCTCCTCTAGGCTTCCTTGAAAGTCCTGTGGTCAAGAAAGAGGAAATCATGACCCAACTGTTATCCAGCTGAGTCAGGGTTTTGTGGGGGCGGGGCAGGGACTACACCAGAAAGAGCTTGGGCAGAGGGCCAGCTCCCTGCTGGGATAAGTGACAAAAGTCTGGGTGCATAGTCAGAGGCTGATGATGAGCATCCTGCCTCTGTTGCTCACTCCCTATGGGATCCTGGACCCATCACCCACCTCTCTGAACCTCAATTTCTTCAGCTGCCCATAGGTAGAGTTACCCATCTTCCTTCATTTATTAATTCATGAAACTCATTTGGTCTATGCCATGTGTCGGGCCCTACAGGCTTCCAGTAGGGATGAAAATATGTGACCAAGCATGTACATAAACAACAGCAGGGGCCAAAACTGGGCTCAGCCCAGCCATGCTGCAGCCTCCACCTGGATGTTGGCACACACTGGGTCTTAGGAGTCTTGCATTCTCAACAGGCAGTACCTAAAGGCTCTAGGGAAGTGGGAGGCACCCAAACCCATATATTCCCAGGGCTGCTGACCTGCACTGACTGCTTCACCCGGTTGATGGCTGGAAGGGCATCTCTGTGTCTTACCCCAGAAGAACATCTGGACACCAGTGTCCATCCCTCCCAAGACTCAAGCAGATCACCCCATCTCGTGGGCAGTGTTGCAGAATGAGTAGAGGATGGATCAGCTCGGCGACCACTGCTGCTCCTGCACCAGTGACACTTAAGTGGTTGGAACCAGTGCAGGCACAAAGAGAAGCCAGTAGGGAGGTCCCCGGGTGGAGGCAAGACCAAAGTCAGCGTGACACACAAGGGCCTGATCTCACTGTCTTTGTTTATGGAACACAAAATACCACGCACCCAGTGGAGCATTTCACTAGCTTTGCTCACACCCCTCTTTGTCTCCACCTGCTCCTCAGGCAGCAGTGATAGTTGCCATCTGGCTTAGAAATCAGGGAGGACACAATGAGAAAATTTATGGGAAGCCCTTGCTATGCACAGGGGCTTTTCATCACTGTGTTTTATGACCCATCATGACCTCTGCTGTTCAACAGCTTAGGGCTAGGGAGATAGCTCAGCGGCGCAGCACCTGCCTGGCAAGGGCGAGGTCCTGAATTCAATTCCTGTTACAACCCCCCCCCCAACACACATAATTCAAAGGCCATGACCTTTAGTTGGTCTGAGTTTGTGACTCAGTGGACAATGTGGGTGGGATGTGGCCAGAGGAGGAAGTCGGAAAGAAAGGACAGCTGGGCAGGGAAGAACAGGGAGAGAGAGCAAGACGGGGATGCCCACTGTCACAGTGGTGCAGAGTGGGCCGGGTGAAGGTCACTGGGTGGGAGGATGGGTGGGTGGCTGCAGCACAGATTAGTAACACGCTTTGGGGGGTTTTCCAGGTTCTTTAAAGAAATACCCAGTCTTCATGGTCCATCTATTGTGGCAGTTATGCAGGGATTACCCACCCTGCTTCATAGGGAGGAATAGGTACTCTTAGGAAGGGAAAGAGGCAAGAAACAGGGACACAGGGACAATTACCCTGGCTTCCAGATGGGAATCTGGTCTTCCTCCTCAAGGGCTGGAATCCAAGAGCTGGAGGAGGCTTTAAGTAAGAATGGAAGGAACAGGAGGTTC